TTATCTTCTTTGTTCTTCTGACAGTGCTATATTAGCTCGCTGAAGAAAAAATGGGAGCCGATTTCCCGCTCTTAACGTAATTTATACGGACCGGGTAGGGCCCACACAGCAGGTGGGCGTGGACTAATTTTTTTTCAGTGCTTATGCTCTGCATAACGGGATAAACCCACTAAAGCGAAGGCCTTAAAGGGCGAAGCTTATATGACATAGAACGGACCTTACTACAGGGTCCGAGAGGAAAAAAAAAAAAAAAAAGGGGGGGGTGGGTGTTTCGAGGCAGCACGCATGCGCGTTAGATGAACGTACAAAATGCACAGCGCCAACTAACGACCCGGCATAAGAACTACAGCAGATTCGGGGGGCCGGAGATTTTTGCAGATGTTTGTAAACACAAAATCCGTCGTCAACGCGGATGTGTTCGCTAACATTCTAAAAAAAAACAAAAAACACAACTACGATTCCCCCGAGTGTCCGTGTAAATAGAAAACTTACAGCTCATGTTGCACATTTCTGATATTTGATATAAAAATCAAAGCTTTGCAAAATATCCCTTTCAGACTAAAATGGCACATTAATTTATTCAGACTGCAGATTTGGATTAAAAGCTTAAAATTTATGACATTACTGATGATATAATTATTAATTAACCATTTTTAGTAGAATACCTTTAAAAAAATACATAAACTTTATTCAGCTTTTTTCTTTCTGTGCAAACGTGACTTGAGAAGATACAGAAACAAAGAACTAATTTATACCAGAACAAGAGTGGTTTCATTCAGTTTTTAAGCAAGTCAGACTTCAAGGATCAGAAAGGAATCACGCAGCTTTATGTTGAACAGAATCATAGGCAGGAATTAAAAACCCATTAAGTTCTTCGTAAAGAAGTTTACCTTTCTTTGTCTCTCCATCCAGGTTCACAGATATCTGCGGTTCTGGGGGTTCATCTGAAAGACTGCTCCTCCGATTGTCTTTTGGTGGAGTCCTGTGTGGCGTTTCTTTCTCAGCTTTCTCCACGTCTTCTTCTTCTTCGTTTGTTTGCCCGTTTTCCTGGCTGTCACTTGGAACAACCTGGACACAAACTCAATTTTACTTTTCTTTCTGTTAACATTGGTACACATGATCCATCCATCATCTTCTGCTTGTTCCGAAGTCGGGTCTCGGGGGCAGCAGCTTGAGCAGGGAGGCCCAGACATCTCTTTCCACAGCCACCTCTTCTGGGGGGACCCCAAGGCGTTTCCAGGCCAACCGAGAGACAGTCTCTCCAGCGTGTCCTGTGTCTTCCCCGGGGTCTCCTCCCAGTCAGACATGCACGAAGCACCTCCCTAGAGAGGCGTCGAGGGAGCATCCTTACCAGATGCCCGAACCACCTCAACTGGCTTCTCTCAATGTGGAGGAGCAGCGGTTCCACTCAGAGTCTCTCCTGGATAACTGAACTTCTCACCCTGTCTCTAAGGGACAGTCCAGCTACCCTGTGGAGGAAACTCCTTTCAACCGCCTGTATTCACTTTCTCATTCTTTCGGTCACTACCCAGAATTTGTGACCACAGGTGAGGGTAAGAACTAGGGGTTGAACAACTACTTATTTTTCAAAGTCGACTAGTCGATGCAACGTTATAGGAACTCAAGACGCTATTCACACACACAAAAAAAGTAATTTATTATTTACAAAAAAATCACACTTATCATACTGCAAATGTCGCAGGAAAATTAAAACTATTCTTCAGCTGCAAAAGTTAGTTTTATTTTATTTAATGCACTAAATAAAATAACCATCGCGGTGGTGGTGCTCCCGTTTTTTACATTTCATTTAGTGGATTGCCATAATTGTTGGGCTTTAGAACATACCTGTCTCTAAGCCGCACTTATAAAATATAAATCATAATTTTGTATATAAATAAGACGCTCCAATTATTTAGCTGCAGGCATCCACCGCATGGTCTGGATCTGTGCCCCCCAGTCTGCTCCAGCTGTATGCAGCGTTCTTGTTGTAGTACAAGAATCAGCCAGCAGATGGCGTTTCACAGAATTCACGCTCAGACTGCAAGATCATCATGAAGCTTCTGTCTGACTCATGGTTACAACCATTACACCTTCAAAATGAACACAACTGTGTAAGCATAATCACTGGACAGAACAGTGCCAAACTCCTACATGACTGAAATTATTTAAAAATTATTTACCAGTAAATATTACCAAGAAATCAAATCGAGGTCATGTGACAGTCAAATAGTACCGCAAAATGCGGTAAATATTCGTTAAACTAGTATAATTGATTTTTATTGGTAAACACTTTTGTTAACAACTGCTGTTTTTAAATGTACTTTCTAAATAAATTCAACTTGATTTCTGCTCAGCACTGCTCATATGAGGAAGAACAGCTCCCTCCTTCCCGTTGTCTCCTCTGTTCTGTTTAATGCCCGTTTAAGCTTAAATGAGATACTGGTATTTAAACACGTATTTACCGTACACAGAAAGATTTTTTTTAAAACTTTTATTTACACATGTATCAGTCTTGACTGACTGCTTTAAAAATATACCTGACAAATTCTCAGGTATATTAGTAGAAATGAGCTCTCATGACTGAAAGGGAAGTAAGTGTGTGTGTGTGTGTGTGTGGGGGGGGGGGGGGGGGGGCTCTCCGCTTCGTGTTCAGATGTGACTTTAAAATGAGATCCCGGTATATAAATACATATTTACTAACACACAAAAAATGTCACACAGAAATAATTTTTAAACTTTTATTAAAACATTTACCAGACTTGACTGCTTTTGCGTCTCCAATCCTGACCACTGACACACGTTAATACAGCTTACGGGCTGCAGCTCTGTTTCCTCCTTCGACAGCTGATAGCTTTTAACGTGAAAGCTGCGTCATAAGAAATTCTCCGTACATTTTCCATCATCGCTGAACAAATGAACAGGTCTGTGCACCAAGCGCAAAATACGATAAACGACACGGGAACGATCTTAAGAAATTAATTCACGTCTATCTTGGGGGATGGTCCTCGAGAGTACCTCGTTGGTCATTCAGGTTAGACTTCTGGTCACATGATGACAGAGTGGGTGGAGTTATGGTAGGATATTTAAAACCGTGAGCAAAAGACTGTACATCTGATTACCTGAGGGCACTCTCTCTGTGTCGCAAACGCCTGCCCCCATGAGGGGCGGGGTGCTGGGAGAGTGCCCAGATCTGTCAAAGGAAAATGTTAGTCAGTGGCAGGAAACTACTGAGAGACAGCAGGAAGTCTTTGAAAATAAAATATTAAATTGAGAAAATTATTTAAAAAAAACAAAACAAAAAAAAAACATAGGATGCTCCTGCATATAAACCACGGGCTACAATGTGTGAAAAAAAAGTAGCGGCTTTACACCGGCAATTATGGTAAAAATAAAAACTATTCACCGGCGTGTCGTGCGCCCCCGTTTTTATTTTATTTAGTGGATTAAATAAACTAAAACTAAAAACAGTGGGGCAGGTGTTGGTGGGATCCCACAGTGGATTAAATAAAATAAAAACAGTGGGGCGGGTGGTGGTGGAATCCACCACAGGCGGTTGAACCAGAAGAGTCATCTTCAATGAAATACTTCCACACTATTGATGAATTTCTACCCGTTTGGCAAGACTTGGCCTGCTCCTGACCTTCCATCTGCTTGGAAGAATTTGTTTGTAGCCAGCGGCCCGGCGCTGATCACATGACACAATCACAGACTGCGACTACTCGATGTGAAATTTAAAAACTTGCGAGATGTCCTAGAATCGACTAGTCAACTAGTCTTTTCAACCCTTAGTAGGAACGTAGACGGACTGGTAAAGAGAGAGCTTTGCCTTACAGCTCAGCTCTCTCTTCACCACAACGGACCGGCACAGAGTCCGCAATACTGCAGCTGCTGCACCAATCCGTCTGTCAATCTCAAACTCCATTCTTCCCTCACTCGTGAACAAAACCCTGAGATACTTGAACTCCTCCACTTGAGGCAGAACCTCGACTTGAAGAGAGCAATCCACCTTTTTCCGACTGAGGACCATGGCCTCAGATTTGGAGGTGCTGATTCTCATCTCAGCCGCTTCACACTCTGCTGCGAACCGCTCCAGTGAGAGCTGAAGATCACGGCACGATGACGCCAACAAGACCACATCATCTGCAAAGAGCAGAGGTGGAATCCTGAGGCCACCAAACCAAAATCCCCCCGCCCCCTGGCTGCTACGAGAAATTCTGTCCATAAAAGTTATGAACAGAATCTGTGACAACGGGCAGCCCTGGCAGAGTCCAACTCCCACCCTGAAGGGGTCCGACTTATTGCCGGCAATGTGAACCAAACTCTCGCACTGCTTGTATAAAGACTGAACAACCCGTAACAATGGGTCCCCAATCCCATACTCACAAAGCACCCTCCACAGTGTACTCAGAGGAACACAGTCAAACACCTTCTCCAAGTCCACAAAACACATGTAGATAGGATGGGCAAACTCCCATGACCCCTCGAGGACCCTAGTGAGGGTAAAGAGCTGGTCCAGTGTTCCACAATCAGGATGGAATCTGCATTGTTCCTCCTGGATCTGAGGTTCGACCAACGATCGGACTCGCTTCTCCAGTACCCCTGAATAGACCTTACCAAGGAGGCTAAGAAGAGTGATGCCCCTATAATTGGAACATACCCTCCAGAACCCGTTTTTGGAAAGGAGAACCACCACCTCAGTCTGCTAATCCAGTGGCAGTGCCCCCGTCCACGTGATGTTGAAAAGGCCATCAACCAAGACAGCCCCACAACATCCAGAGCCTTAAGGAAATCAGGGTGAATCTCATCCACCCCCGGAGCCCTGCCACCTCGGAGCTTTTTAACTACCTCGGCGACCTCAGCCACGGTTATGGACAGACCAACCTCAAAGTCCCCAGACTCAGCTTCCTCCATGGAAGACGTGCTGGTGGGATTGAGAAAGTCCGAAAAGTATTCCTTCCACCGCCTGACGACATCACTGGTTGAGGTCAACATCACCCCACCTTCACTGAACACAGTGTTAGTAAAGTGCTGATTTTCCCTCCTCAGCCGCCTGATGGTTTGCCAGAATCTTCTCAGAGCCAACCGAGAGTCTTCATCCGAGGCCTCTCTGAACTCCTCCCACATCAGAGCTTTTGCCTCAGTAAAAGCCAAGGCTGTGGACAGTTTGGCCCTCCGGTACTCCTCAGCTGCCTCTGGAGTCCCACCAGCCAACAAAGACCGACAAGACTCTTTCAGCACGTCAGCCTCCCTAACCCAGGGTGTCCACCACCATGTTCGAGGATGGCCACCGCGAGAAGCACAGACAACATTGCGGCCACAGCTCAAGGCAGCCACTTCAATAATTGAGGTGCAGAACATGGCCCACTCGAACTCAATGTCCCCCACCTCAGCTAGGATGTGGTTAAATCTCTCCTGGTGGTGCAAATTGAAGTTCTTTCTGATGGGTTCATCTGCCAGGTGTTCCCAGCAAACCCTCACTACGCGTTTCTTATTTTCCAAAAGAGATTTAAACTAAAGACTTCAATGCTCAGCATCGCCGTGCTTCCCTCACCTGCGTGACGGTGCGTCGGATCTTGAGGCCTTTGTCTGGGTCGCCCCGACTGGTGTCCAGGTTCTCCTCGTCTCCAGACAAATACAGCTCCTCAGGGTGAATGTCCACAACCTCCTCCTGGTTCACTTTAATGTCAGGAATCAAAGACTGAAGGGCAGAGGCAAAAAGGAGAAGATGGAGGGAAAAAAAACAAAAACAACATTAGTTAGTTTTTGAAACATTTTAAGCTGAAAAAAAAAAAAGATTACGGTAGTTTTATGTTCTATTTTTTACATATTCAACAGTTCTGTCTTAGCTTTACCCTACAATTTAACGAGTAATTACTTTGTAAATATTTAAATTAATATGTCATATATAAAGGGTCTTAATTATAAACAGCTTTTTATACATGCTCATGGTCGTTTCCTCTAAAAAAAAAGGAACACTATAAATAAAAAGTACCAACCCGCTTCCTTAATTTTTTTTTATAAAACATTAAACGCCAGCAAAAAATTTGTGAATTATGTCAGATCTTGTAGAAACCTTAACCCCTCTCCCCATCAGATGCCAGTACCTTCAGTGAGTCTGTGGTGATGCTGATCGATGGTTTCTTAACAGTAACTGCTGTGCTGGAGCCCCATCGCCTCTTCCTCCCTCCTGCATTTCCAGTGTCGGGCTCTGCTGCCGCTCCATCTGTTCTGGCTGGAGAAGCCTTGCTGCCTGTGGGTGTAAGGACATTGTACTGGTAATTTATCACCAAGAACACTGGAGATTTTACTCTAGTGAGCAGAACTCAACAGGCAAGCCACCCGTACCCAAAGAGCAGAAACGCCTGCGTTGACTCAAATAACGATTGGCAGCTATTAACGAGTAATGGTTTTATTTATTTATGTCAGGTAGTTTATGAAAATACTGTATGTGCTACATATTTGCTGCAGTTAGTGTTAGCAGCTACAATGTTATGAACACGAGAAATACTCTAAACATGACAGCGTGCAGCAGTAAAACCTGTGATGTTACATGCAGTCAGAACCTTCTCCAGTTTGTTTCATGATTCATCACTGCCGGTAGTTTCAGTCTTTAGACTCAGTTTACACTTTTATTTGTCGTATAAGAATCTGCAGAAACAATCAACTACGTTGGAGCAAAATGTTCTTCATCAAAACGTTTCTATCAAGCTAGCAAGTGTCCTACAGAGTGTTGAACAATGTCGTCTGCAAACGTCTTGAGACAATCAGCTTCTAAAAAAATGTGCTTTTGAGGAGCCTGGCTTTTCTCAGGTAACCTTGATCAAGAGGTTTCTGGACATCCTGACGGTTTTTAGTTTTTTTCTTTAGAAATAGGATTGTAAATAAAAATTTTAAATATCCATCCAGTCTTTGTACCTGAAAGACAGATGACTGTTGCATATTTTAGTTAAGCCGCTGAACGATTGTTTCTGTTCAGTGCCCTGAGATAACTCGTGTTGTGACTTGGCAAGTTGGCACCAAATAAATAAACTCAATTTTATTCAAACGACCTGTGAATTATGATACAAATAAAAAAGGGAAAACTATCTCTCCAAACAACATATCTATCCATGCAACATATCCATCCATCCACTGTCCAACCATCCATCTATTCATCTGTCCAACTATCCATACTCTGTCCAACCATTCATCCATCTGTACAA